GCGCTCGAGCTCTGCAGCGTGTCGGTGGTGAACGGATTCGTGCGGAGGTTGGCCAAGTTCAGCCCGAACGTTGCGTCGTCGAAGCAGGTGCTGGTCAAGCTCGCGCAGCTCTTCTCGCTCTCTCGGAACAGCTTCACCATTGAGAATCGGTCGGTGGTCTTGTAGCAGAGCTCCCCACTGCTGGGGTTGTTGACAACATTGGCGTTCTCCGTGTGCTTCATATACCCCGCCTCGATCTTCTTGCAGTTGTCCAGCTCGTCCTTCGTCATCGGCTTCGACACTTTCTTCGGGGCACTCGAAGTGTCGGGGCAGGACCCTGCAGATCCGTACCGCGGTCGGTACTGGTCGAGGATGGCGACGCACCCGACGCACGACACCTCGTCGTCCATGGAGTCGGTCGCGACGATCTCCATCTCGTACTTGCCCGGCTCGTCGAAGAGGATCTCGCTCTGCAGCAGCGCAGGGTTGTCCGTGTACTGTGACCAGGTGATCTTCTTGGAGGAGATCGACTTGGTGCTCCCCATTTTGGAGGCCGTGAGCTGCACGGACGCGATCTGCGGCGTCAAATCGGGGCAGTCGTCCGTGTAGTCGAGCGGGTCCGGCACCGGGAGCTCGCACCTCTCCTCCACCCCGAGGCGCAGGTCGTTGAGGGCCCCCGTCAGGTCGCACGACATGCCCTCCTGCCAGAAGCAGACCGGGTCGACGTTGGCTGTCAGTACGCGCTGCTGCGTTCCGTTGAGCTCCTGTGCACCTAGAACCCCATCGAGCGCGCAGCACGTCGACGCCAGCGCGAGCAGAGCGGTGGCCAGACGCATGGCCCGAGCGAGCAGAGACCTTGACGCTGGCAAATCCAAAGGCCAAGTGGGTAGCGACCACGATAGCTTGATGCGCATCAAAACAACGGTTGGCTGTCCTCGTAAAGGGTCGCGAGCAAAAGATCGCGATTGGCGAAAGGTAGTGCGTCCTGCGGTGAACGGCAGTCCGCCGGGGGGTGGCCCAGGATCGTGTATGGCATGGCATTCGACTCAAAGAGCACGAGGGTGGCGAAGAACTGCTGGACTAAACAGGGTATTATCGTATGAGCGTGTTTAACTGCACCACTTCCTCTTCCTTGCTCGCCTCTGAAAAGAAATCGTTGCAGTAGGTAGTTGACCTTTACTCCATCAGAGGATAGTACACATCCTGCGACTCAGCAGCAGCATCCGCACGGCGTTTGGCGACGACTAGAGCCACGGCAGCAACCAGTGCACACGCCACAATAAGCACGGGCAAGGCCCCGAATGCAACGCTCTGATAATCATCAGCGTCATCCATCTCCGCCAGCAATAGCGACCCTGGTGGGGGTTCGCAGCGCTTGACGTCTGATGAGCCAACCGTATTACACGTCAGAGCCTGCGAGCACTTGGTGCAACACGTCGGTGTAGTCGCCAGCTTCAACAGCGTTTTCGTAGCGGTCGCCGTCACAATGGAGCCGCCGCAAGCCTCGAGTACTCCTGGAGCTGAGTCCCCAGCGCACTTGTCCGCACACACATCGGATCCAAGGTTCAGCTCGGGCTTATCGCAGTCCGTGATTGTGAACGTGTGACTGCACTCGATCGAGTTGGCGTCCGTACCAACAGCTTCCGACGCCAAAGCGAGAAGGTTCGTGCGCGGAGTACGCGTAAACGTGCAGCGGACGACCCCCGTCGTCTTCTGCGCCGTGCTGGGATTGTTCACGAGCTCCACGCCGTAGTACTTGCTGATAGTGGCGGCCGACGAGTCCTCCAGCACCTTGACGACGCTCGTGTCGGTGCCGCCCGTCGGCTTGACCATCATGCTGCACGTGACGCCCGTGTACGATCCCGTGACGGTGGTGTCGCTCTGCTGCAGCACGTCCGCGACGACCATGTCGAGCTTCAGGACGGCGAAGTCGCTGCCTCCGTACGCGCAGTAGGTTCCCTCGGAGCCCTGCACGCCGGGCTTCTCCACCACCTTCCACATCGCAGGGAACTTGGAGCACGCCAGCGTGCTGTGCAGATACAGGTTGACGGTGAAGGTGGTGGTGTAGGCCATGCCGCACGCCGTCCAGGCCTCCAGCACGATGGTCGTGGTCGGGTCCGTGAACGTGATGGCGGTGTCGGCGAGCGGGTCCCACCTGACGAAGCTCTTGCCGTTGACGTTGTAGCGCCAGAAGACGAAGTCCTTGACGTCGAGGGTCGTGGGCGGGGTCGGGAGCGTCGTGGTGAAGGCCCTCCGGACGTCGAGCAGCTGCGAGAGCTTGGCCGTGTAGCGGCAGTTGGTGTCCGTGGCGCTGAAGCTGGTGCAGGGGATGCTGTAGTAGACGTGCTTGGTAACGTCGCTGCCGTCGGGCTTCTTGGGCAGCGCGTTGAGCACGTTAGTGGACGCTGTCTGGACGGTGGACTTGACGACGACGGAAGCTGTGACGATGTGAGTACCTTTTGCCTCAAGGCACACGTTCATGGAGCAAGTGTTTCGGACGGTGTCGTCACCTTCGCAGGTTATCGGTTGTGCCGGGTTACTGCTGTAGTATGTCGGACAAGTGTACGCCTTGAACTGCTCCTTGAGTTTCCTGGTCTTCCGGCAACACCACGTGCACTGCTGGCTCAGTACCGCGTCCAAATCCGCGCTCGAGCTCTGCAGCGTGTCGGTGGTGAACGGATTCGTGCGGAGGTTGGCCAAGTTCAGCCCGAACGTTGCGTCGTCGAAGCAGGTGCTGGTCAAGCTCGCGCAGCTCTTCTCGCTCTCTCGGAACAGCTTCACCATTGAGAATCGGTCGGTGGTCTTGTAGCAGAGCTCCCCACTGCTGGGGTTGTTGACAACATTGGCGTTCTCCGTGTGCTTCATATACCCCGCCTCGATCTTCTTGCAGTTGTCCAGCTCGTCCTTCGTCATCGGCTTCGACACTTTCTTCGGGGCACTCGAAGTGTCGGGGCAGGACCCTGCAGATCCGTACCGCGGTCGGTACTGGTCGAGGATGGCGACGCACCCGACGCACGACACCTCGTCGTCCATGGAGTCGGTCGCGACGATCTCCATCTCGTACTTGCCCGGCT